CACCAACTGACCCAGCCGAGACTCAAACCAGAGACTTTCTTGCTGTAAGGTAACAGCACTAACCATTGAGCCACCATTCCGCTCAGGGACGGAGTGAGACTTCTTTTCAGCCCTGGAGTTTCAAGCCTCAGACCGGCCCACCTCAGTTCACGACTGACTATATTAAAATAAGGTTATTTCCAATTCAGTTTCTAATTACACTACCATGTCTTTTTTTGGAGAAAACAGCTGCTTTAGAACTTCAAATGTTCAACAACCCTAACAGTATTATATGTCTTAACAATAAAAGTGAAAAAAAATTACTCAGATGAGGATCAAACCCGGGTCGGTGGCATCGTAACCTAATGTGCTAACCACTCGACCACAGCAGCTGTACACTGAAAGGTGACTCATCTGAGTTATATCATCATTAACCTGCAGGCTGCATCTGCTCACGAGGCTGCGAGAAAATAGATAAAAAGAGCAGAGCTGTAAAATAATGAATAAGAAGACTGTGGTCAAGTAAATAAATACATTCATTTAAAAAGTCTGACTGCTGAGAGCAACAGATTCTGGAGCTAGGGACACCGGCCCTCGCGGCCAAAAAACAGACCGGCCCACCGGGAATTCTCCCGGTCCTCCCGATTAGCCAATCCCGGCCTGGTGCCGCTAATAAAATGATTTCAGAGTGAAAACTAGATTATTAAGCTTGCTGTTGAACTCACAGTGCTTTATCAGAAGCATTTCATTGACAGTTTTTCAATTTTTATAGAACTTAAGCTAATTTCCAGTTTATCATAATCACATTAACCAAGGCTGTGCAGATTAACTGAAAATCAGTTTCAATTTTGGATTATGAAAAACAATAATCAGTGTTCATTAATTCATTCATTCATTCATCTCCTGCCGCTTTTCCGGGGCCGGGTCGCGGGGGCAGCAGTCTTAGGACAGAACCCCAGACTTCCCTCTCTCCAGACACTTCCTCCAGCTCCTCCGGGGGGATCCCGAGGCGTTTCCAGGCCAGCCGAGAGACATAGTCCCTCCAGCGTCTCCTGGGTCTTCCCCGAGGCCTCCTCCCGGTGGGAAACGCCTGGAACAGCTCCCTAGGTAGGCGTCCAGGAGGCATCCAAAACAGATGCCCGAGCCACCTCAGCTGACTTCTCTGGATGTGGAGGAGCAGCGGCTCTACTCTGAGCTGCTCCTGAGTGTCAGAGCTCCTCACAATTTCCATAAGAGTGCGCCCTGCAACCCTGTGAAGGAAACTCAATTTGGCCGCTTGTATCCGAGATCTTGTCCTTTCAGTCATGACCCAAAGCTCATGATCATAGGTGAGAGCAGGAATGTAGATTGACCGGTAAATCGAGAGCTTTGCCTTTCAGCTCAGCTCAGCTCATCTTTACCACAGTGAACCGGTACATCAACCGCATTACTGCTGCCGCTGCACCGATCCGCCTGTCAATCCTTCCCTCACTCCTGAACAAAACCCCGAGATACTTGAACTCCTCCACCTGGGGTAAGGACTTTCCTCCAACCTAGACAAGGCAAACCACCTTTTTCCAGTGGAGCATCGTGGCCTCTGAACCCGGCTGGGCTTAGCCCGAAGGAGCGATGTGTGCTGATGCATTGTGGAGCGGGTGGTGGTCGAAGGTTAGGATCACGACAACCCGATCGTCAGGCACAGAAACTGGCTCTTGAGACATGGATAATCAGGATAAAGCAGTTAAATTGCATCACATGACTCTAAATTTCTGTAAAATTCCTCCTCAGAGCCCGACTTCAGTCTCGTAAACAGACTGTTGCAGCAAGGATGTGCTTCATTAACTGTATTATTAAGTTTTTAAAGGCTTTATTCAGGTTTACAGTCTGTATGAGCTGGAAGATGGAGACCATTTGTGTTTCATGTTGTGATGCAATTCCCAGAGAACTGAATATTACATGAGAAACAGTGGGCGTGGCTTGTTTTTTCTACTGCAAGCTGATTGGATGTAGTAAAGTAGGCGTGTCATTCAGACAGATGGGGAAAAGGGTTTTGGGTGACTTATTCCAACCTAACAGACTCCTCCTCCTCCTCCTCCTCCTCCTCCTCCTCCTTTCTGTTTGTTGTCAAAACTGACAGCGTGAGGGGTGTGGCTAAGTATGTTAGCCACACCCAATACCCAAGATATACATAATCTGACAAATGAACTGAAATCAAACAGGAAGTGCATTTTCAGATTTCAAAGGCAAACACTGTCTCTTAATGACGAACATTATCAATACGGTTAGTTTTGACTTCATGGGGACTTGAAGAGCAAAGCAATGCTCAAGCTTATCAGGTCAATGAAGTGCATTTGTGTATGCGTGTGTTAGGTGTATGTGTTGATGATGAGGATGAGGATGTTGTGTGTCTGTCACCTCCTCTACACTCCAGTGTGTGACGCGGCTGGCCTGAACACCGGAGACTCCGGGCAGGAGTTTACAGTGCTGATCCCAGCACAGCGGCAGGTCACGGCTCGGGTGCGCAGACATGGCGGAGAGGAAGACCGACTGATGCAGAGCCTGCTGGAGACTGTCCACATTACGCTCTGAAACACACACACACACACACATTTGTTTTTGATTAGATTATTATTTTAAATTATATTATAGTGTAGAAAACTGAAGCCCATCAAATCATTTGTCTATTACTGCAGTAGTGTTGTACCACAGCAACAATATAGTTACCACCACAGTTAAACTCAAGTAATTATCTATAGTCTGCTTACACACAGTATAGCTGGACTATTCAACTGGCGGCCCGCGGGCTGAACCCGGCCCCCGAGGCAATTTGTTCCGGCCCTCGATGTAGTGTGACCAAGACATCCAAAACACATTTAGTTGAGTGGAGAAACGGCCGCTATAGCTATGAAGTGACGTGCGTCTGTTCAATACAGCATGAGCTGCAGAGGCTGCGCAGAGCGAGAGTCACCATAAGCGAGTGGCACGGGCAGCTGAAAACATCTGGATGTGTTTGTAGAGAAGGCCTGTTGTACTATGCGTTGATATCGTCAATAGGGATGCAACGATTATCAGATTTCACTATTAACCCCGCTTTAATCCCTCACAGTTAATTAATGGTAAAGGCTTCTATAAGCTGCATTTCTGTTGCACAGACCAAAATGAAACTGCTGCAATTAAACAAAGTGATGACAAGTTGCCAACTGTGCGCTAGTTTAAAGTTCCAAGTATGTACACCGAGGCTAATACACACACACACCGGATTAACTATAGCAGTGACTATTCCCATATCACGACTTTTCCGCTTGCAAGTTTATTTCTACTGTAAGAATATATGTTAATGTGCGGGCTCAAGCGGAGCAACACACTTGCATCTTTCCGGGTGCAAACAATATAAAACATCTCATGGCGAGACTTTCAGTGCAATGTCAACAAAAGACATGTTAGACGAGTATTATTAAAGTGATTATGAATGCATGAGCGCAGATGATGATAACAGTTCATCTAAATAGCTGCTCACCCAATATACAATATATAATATTTACATTACAACCAAATCTATAATCGTTGCATCCATAATTGTTATGCAGTTTAAAAAGCACCATATGAATGTGTCTGGATGTAGGAGACGCCTACTTCAGCAATGCACTGCTTCTGTTGTGCTCTCAAATACATTTGAATGTTTGTTGAAAAAGTCTATTGTACAATGCAGTGATGTTATGTAGTTTCACAATACAACATATTCACATTTCAATGTAGAAAAAGCCAACGTGGGTGTCTTAGCCACACTGAGAGAAATTAAAATACAGCTCATGACTGCTCAACAACACTGATTCATGAAAGCTCCATGTTAATATCCAACATAACATCACGGCTCTTTCTCTGAGAAGCTTCCAGACTGAGGAAACTGATATTCAGCTGTAAATCGAGGCCCTCTGCAGACACGCGACCCTTTAATAATCGGGACTATTGCTTAAAAATAATTGCCAAAAACCCTGACACGTGTTAATAATCAGTGTGTTGATGCGGCGTCTCCTGCAGCGCAGTAATGGACACGACGTGTGTTTGGCTCCTCGTTTCTACACTGCAGGTCTGTCATAGTGTGTGTGTGTGTGTGTGTGTGTGTGTGTGTGTGTGTGTGTTTGATAAGTGTAAAAGTAGTGTTTAAATGTTAATGACACACACACACACACACACACACTCTCTAAACTTCCTTGCTGATGATTCATTTAGACTCCATTGATTTGTACACAGCAGAGAAGCATTCATAGTGTGTGTGTTTGTGTGTGTGTGTGTAAGAGATATTTGAAAAGAGAAAAAGTGTTAGTATGTGTGTGTGGCCGAGTGTGTATGGATGAGTGTGAGTTATTCTGATTGATTGTGCGAGTGTGTGAAAGGGAGAGTGTGCGTGTTTGTGTGTGTGAGTGTGACTGAAACAGAGTGTGAGTGTGTGTGCTTGTGTGTGAGTGAGTGTGCAATCGTGAGTGTGTGTGAATGTGTATGATAAAACCGGAGAACAAGAATGCGAGCTGAGTAAAGAAAGCAAGCATGACTGGTTCAGTAGTGACACTGAGATGTGCTGAAATCTGGAATAAACACGTGCTGCAGGCACACACACAGAACACACACACACTTGCATGCACACACACATTGCAGATGTTCAGTCATGCATGTTCTCCAGACATCAACATCTCAAATCACATCTGAATACACAATTACTTAGATTTTGTGTGTGTGTGTGTGTGTGTGTGTAAGCCTCCGTCTGACAGTGTGTGTTTCTCCAGACCATCTGCAGACGAGGATGAGAGTCGACGCCGTCCAGGAGGATTAGAGTCGCAACATAACATCATCACTGCAGGACACAAAAGAACAGCGCGCACACGCACACACACACACACACACACACAAACAAACACACACACACACACACACACACACACAGT